TTCCAATCGTATTGTCACATACAATTAACAACTGTATATTAGTGTTATTTCTATCATATTATTATATTAATTAGCTCCTAACAAAAATTACGGCCAATCGGATTCCTACTGTTAATTAAAAGTATATCAATACTTCATGCTTTCACCACGTGGTTGATTTAACTTATTTCTCGATATAGAATCTTTGTTATGATTTCCTGCATTCTTAAATTCTTGATTCCCTATTATGAGCATCAAATTAAATGGGTATTTGTCTAAGCTTATAAGTAGATTAAACTAGATTAAAAGTTTTAAAATTAAGTTGATCTATTTATTTATAATTTTTTTGAGCTTATAAGTTGAGCTTATAAGCCCAAAAAAAATAAGTTGGGGGGAGGTACTTTTTTTTTTTCCTTATAAGTACTATACTTATAAGTTAGTTTGACCAAGTATATTATTACATTATCCTTGTTTAATTTTAAAATTCCATAGTATACTCTTATTTAATGTAGTACATTTTTTAGTCATTTTATAATAAAATATACTTATAAGTCACATTTTACCAAATACGTCAACTACTTATCAGTCACTTATAAGTACTTTAATCAAACACGTAATTACTTAAAATTTCAAATGCTTATAAGCTAATTTTAGCTTATAAACACTTGTTATTTATAAGCTAATTTTTATAAGCTCAGACAAACACCCCCTAAACCCAAAAGCAAGCAATTCATAAAATTTAAATGTTGATATCAAAATTTTATTCGGTTTAAGAAAATATATTATATAAGTACATTATTCGCAATAGTCTCTTCTCTTAGTCTTAGGTAATTGAACAAAATAGTTTGTTTGTAATTGTTTTTCATTTTAGGCAATGTTTGAATGCACTATATTTTATTATTTTACTGCGATCCATCCATAAAATTTTTTTGAGTTATACTACACCCACAATCTCTTTTAACAAAATTTTTCTCACAATCCCGACATGATAACTTATAATTAGTAAATTATAATTTATCAAATAGAATTTATTGTGAGTTGACCAATAACAAATTATCATATTGAGATTATAAAAGAAAGTTTGTGAGAAAATGTTATAAACCTAGTATTTTCCAAAACTAATGTGATGCAATATCCTGGTCCGAAACTAGGGTATGTCTGATTTCTGAATTAATTAACCCAGTCCAAGATTGTATAATAACAATGTTTAAGGTTAGACAGCTTACACCCAATAATCGACACTGTTGGTGATGTACGTCTGAATGAACTGGATACGTGATGGGGCATGGCGAATGTTGTTTATGAGGCTATGAGCATTCTTTGTCTTTTTTTGCCAAATAATAGAAGAAACTCAAATCCTACCCTACTCAATAATTTTAAAAGCAACAAATACACTTATATGATCAATGTGATGTTAGTTAGTCATTAGAGAAAATAACAAGCAGAACTCAATTATGTAACTACATAATACATATCTTTAACTATACTGGGATGCATAAAGTGGCTCATAAAATATCGTAAAGTTTTGTGAATAATAAAATAATATGATACTTATGTTATACCAAAATAAATAACATTGGACTGTTTCCAAAACCTAAAATTATAATATTACTACAGTACAAATGATTGAGAAAAGTTTTAAGTATCCTCTCATGTTACTATGTTAGACAAAATATATAACAAAGTACTATTTGACTACTGCAATCACATTATTAGACTTGAACGAGCCTATAATCAATTCAATCATGACCAGATCTTTGGATGTATAATTTACGTAAAGCTGAGTACGTTGTACTCAATTTATTGGAATTGTTTTAATACTTCAACGCATGTTACGTTTTTTTTTTTGCAATTGATAAGATTTGAATATGTCTTAGCTAATTGAATGAAAAAGGGTCGGGAGAGTCATTGTATGATTGAGAGTAAACGACTTTTTCCCACCCAAAGTTTGCTTTAACGACACTTTCCCACTAAAAATTTTCAAAATACTACTTTCTCACCCAAAGTTTATATTCTGTTAATACCTAAAATACACTTAAATTTCTCAGCAGATGTTTGGCGAGTTATTAGGAGTCAAGGTAAGAGGCATTTTGTAGAATAGAGACCAATGGATCGAATGATGGTGATTGATTGAATATTTGTTGTCGAAATCAACTGAAAATCAGCTAAGAACAAGAAATCATAGCTTTGAGGTGGCCGGTAATCGACGAGAATTCAGGTGTCTGAGTGAGAGAGGTTTTATAGAGAGGAAATCGAAAGTTCAAATAGTAGTGACGGAGATAATTTTTACTATCGGAATTGGCTTTGAGTAGTAATTAAATATTAACTTTAGCTAGGAAAGTGGTATTTTGAAACTTTTTGGGTAGAAAAGTGTTGGCAAGACAAACCTTGGGTGGGAAAAAGTCAGTTTACTCTATAATTGTAACAAAAACAGAAGAATTTAGTTAAGCTAATTTCTTCGAATAAAAACCATATTAGTGTTGTCACATCTTCTTAATTGCTGATATTGATCACCAAAATTTTCGGTTTATATGTTTAAGATCAAAGTAATTGACTATATAAGAGGAAGGACAACACGGTTTCACACATAATACTAGCGTTCTAATTANTAAGAATTAATTAACCCAGTCCAAGATTGTATAATAACGATGTTTAAGGTTAGACAGCTTACACCCAATAATCGACACTGTTGGTGATGTACGTCTGAATTAATTGGATACGTGCTGGGGCATGGCGAATGTTGTTTATGAGGCTATGAGCATTCTTTGTCTTTTTTTGCCAAATAATAGAAGAAACTCAAATCCTACCCTACTCAATAATTTTAAAAGCAACAAATATACTTATATGATCAATGTGATGTTAGTTAGTCATTTGAAGAAAATAACAAGCAGAACTCAATTATGTAACTACATAATACATATCTTTAACTATACTGGGATGCATAAAGTGGCTCATAAAATATCGTAAAGTTTTGTGAATAATAAAATAATATGATACTTATGTTATACCAAAATAAATAACATTGGACTGTTTCCAAAACCTAAAATTATAATTTTACTACAGTACAAATGATTGAGAAAAGTTTTAAGTATCCTGTCATGTTACTATGTTAGACAAAATATATAACAAAGTACTATTTGCTACTGCGATCATATTATTAGTCTTGAACGAGCCTATAATCAATTCAATCATGACCAGATCTTTGGATGTATAATTTACGTAAAGCCGAGTACATTGTACTCAATTTATTGGAATTGTTTTAATACTTCAACGCATGTTAGGTTTTTTTTTTTTTTTGGAATTGATAAGATTTGAAAATGTCTTAGCTAATTGAATGAAAAAGGGTCGGGAGAGCCATTGTACAATTGAGAGTAAAGGACTTTTTCCCACCCAAAGTTTGCTTTAACAACACTTCCCCACCAAAAAATTTCAAAATACTATTTTCTCACCCAAAGTTTATATTCTGTTAATACCTAAAATACACTTCAATTTCTCAGCAAACGTTTGGTGAGTTACTAGGAGTCAGGATAAGAGGCATTTTGTAGAATAGAGGCCAGTGGATCGAATGGTGATGACTGATTGAATATTTGCCATCGGAATCAGCTGAAAATCAGCTAAGGATAAGAAATTCTAGCTTTGCAGTGGCCGGTAATCGGTGAAAATTTAGGTGTTGGAGTGAGAGAGGTTTTGTAGAGAGGAAACCGAAGGTTCAAATGGTAGTGACAGAAAGAATTTTCACCGTCGGAATTGACTTTGAGTAGTAATTGAATATTAACTTTAGATAGGAAAGTGATATTTTAAAACTTTTTGGGTGGAAAAGTGTCAGTAAGGCAAACCTTGGGTGGGAAAAAGCCATTTACTCTATAATTGTAACAAAAACAAAAGAATTTAGTTAAGCTAATTTCTTCGAATAAAAACCATATTAGTGTTGTCACATCTTCTTAATTGCTGATATTGATCACCAAAATTTTCGGTTTATATGTTTAAGATCAAAGTAATTGACTATATAAGAGGAAGGACAACACGGTTTCACACATAATACTAGCGTTCTAATTATAATAATATTTTGCTTACAACTGAGTCATACAATTAAACAAAAATTGAACAAAATTCATGTAAAATGAATACTTTGGCTTTTGTTTTTTGCTTGATTGCATGACTAAGTTATAACCATAGCATTGCCCTTCTAATTATGGGTCAATAAGCATATCAGTTATTATCATGTTTATTAATTAAGTAATATTATGTTTACAACTGAGTCATAAATTAAACAAAAAATAAAAGATAGAGTAATAATTTTATATGAATTTTGTGCAATTTTTGTCTAGTTTTTTTTTTTTTAACCAAACTTTAATTTCTCAGTTGTAAGTAAAATATTATTGTTATTAATTGTATATTTGAAAATAACAAAAAATAAACAAAATAAAAGAGAATAAATTAAGGGTAATGCAATTAATATACGGAGGTAACGTTACCCCATAACTAAGCTAACCCAATTATCAAATGTAGAAATGATCAGGGTTTTAATTAATTTTTTTTCATATCTGGAAGATTGGTGTCCATCGATCATATTTTATCTTTTTCTCTAAACTGGACCAAGAAAGCTGAAAATGTGTACCCCATCATCTCTTTCTTGTTGCGGTGGTTGCAAGAGGAACACAAGAGAGAGAGAGGAGATTTTCATTTAATTTAATTTATTAATTTTTTGTTGTTGTGGTGGTTGCACAAGTAAAATGAGAGAAATAGTTTAAGAGGTAGTTTTCTCTGGAGATTTTAAGGTCGAGGGTCATAGTTACGATGGTGGCTTGCCCCCTGCATTCTTGTTGCCTACAAGGGCCATGTAGGACCGACATGAATTTCCCCAAACAATATTCTTTCCACATCCATGTAGGTAGGTGGGCTATTCTCTCGAAGATTAGTGAAAAAAAAAAAAACCACTTAAGACTATACTAGTTACCCATAAGAGCAAACTTTTCTCTTTTATCTCTGTCCCACTCGCCCACACTCACTTCTATTTATTATTCATAGTCCTCTACATACTCAATTTGGTACACCAACTAATTAGTTATAACTCTCTTCATTTTGTTTCTCTCTTTTCCTCCTCCTCTTTCTTCATCAATCTCTTGTTGTAAATGCCTGAAAACATGAGTATATCTGTAAATGGCCAATCTCAAGTCCCTCCTGGCTTTAGATTTCATCCAACTGAAGAGGAACTCTTGCACTACTACTTGAGGAAGAAGGTCTCATACGAGAAGATCGATTTGGATGTGATTCGTGATGTTGATCTTAATAAGCTCGAACCTTGGGATATACAAGGTAAATTAAGGCCTCCTATTTCTTATATTTGTTTAACATCAAGAAACTTATCCATTAGCTTGCTTATGTTCTATAGACATCCAATTTTTTATGTCTTTCCTCCACTGAAGTTTGTTTTGATATGGTTTTTTCGCAGAGAAGTGCAAAATAGGGACCACCCCTCAAAATGATTGGTACTTCTTCAGTCATAAAGATAAGAAATACCCCACTGGAACTAGGACAAATCGAGCTACTGCTGCCGGTTTTTGGAAGGCTACTGGCCGAGACAAGGTAATATATAGCAACTCTAGGCGGATTGGAATGAGGAAGACATTGGTTTTCTATAAAGGCCGAGCTCCTCATGGTCAAAAGTCCGACTGGATAATGCATGAGTATCGCCTCGACGATAATACCACTGAAACCACCAATGTAAGCCATTATTCTCAACTCTTCAATTATTTGGCATATTTTATTATTATTAATACTGTTGATGTACTAATTCTTTCTTCAATCTAGGTTTCGAATGTTATGGGAGAAGCAAACCAGGAAGAAGGATGGGTCGTATGCCGTATATTCAAGAAGAAAAATCACCACAAAACCCTAGATAGCCCAATAAGTTCATCTATTAGCGGAGAGGCGAGGAGCCGTATGTTCAACTCGTGCAACGAAGGAGCTTTAGAGGAAATTCTTCAACAGGTGGGTAGAACTTGCAAAGAGGAAAGTGAAGTCCACAATAACTTGAGACTTTTCAGGTCAATCGATTCAGGGATCCAAAATGTTTATAACGACTCATTCATGAAACTCCCAAGTTTAGAAAGTCCAAACTCCACTAGTAGCCAAAACTGTTACCAACCCATAATCAACATCGAGAATGAAAGCTCTGTGAACAATCAAGCGAGTACAGGTACTTTCAACTCAGTTTATCACATGGACTCCAGTCTCACCAACTGGGCAGTACTCGATAAGCTTGTGGCCTCCCAGCTCAATGGCCATACTGAGACATCAAGACAATTAGCATGTTTCAATGAGCCGACAATGGGGTATTGTAACCCCAGTGATGGTCAGCAAGATTTCCAGTTGCCAACACTGCGATCGTCTTCATTATCTTCCAACAGGTCTTACCATGGATCAGAAGATTATAACAGTGAAATAGAGCTGTGGAATTTCACAAGATCATCATCAACATTGTCATCAAATGATCCGCTATGCCACGTGTCAAACAGAATTGTATAACGGAATAAAGAATAGTTTATATATCATTATATCAGAGGTCTTAAAGTCAAAGTATTGTGAGATTATAGGAGTAAAAGAGAGATATGTAATATAAAAATAAAATTAAAAAGAAGAGAGTTTATCTTTAGATTGGGTGGCATTGTCATTATCATTATCATCTTCAGTAATAATGAAGATGTCTACCATTTTCAACTTGCTGTTTAGAGGAGTAGCAAAACCCCGAATGGTCTGATAGTCTCTTTCTAACTACTATAATCATTCCAACTTTTTTCATAACCAAAATGATTAATATTGTATGTTTCTAATAATCTTTCTGTCACATGCTTTGTCGGTTTGTTTCAGCTGCTAAACCCATGGTTCTAATTCCGGGACACATGGGCTCCCTCCCTCCTTAACAAAAGTAATATAAAATTTATAATTAATTGGCCTTGATATGTACGTTTAACATACGTAGTATCCAATCATGAAATTTACTTAATGAGTGATGTGTATGTGATACCACCACTAACCTTGACCCGTATATTATTAATACGAGAGGGAGTGGGAAAGTGATTTTGTACATGACTGACGGAAAAGGAGCCCGCCATACTTGTCTAACGTTGTTTGAAAAGGATGACACATAAGGTTGTGGTGGAGTTTTAAATTCAAAAGAAGATAACAAACAAGTGGCGAGATTTTAGGCCATGCCACCAACCAGGAATACTACTGTATATTTGATAACAACTTTTTCTCGTACGGACTCGTAACTCTCACCTCCTTTTCTAATTCTTCGTCTAACTTTTTATTTTTATTTTTTTTTATTGTTTAATTAATCTATTTAAAAACAAGAAAAGTCAATTTCAGAATTCACAAATCAAATTTAGCAAGCTGCAAGTGTAATGTATATGCCAATTAGCCTTACTATATATAGTATATGTACTTTATGAGGTTAGAACAAATATCTAATTAATATGCTGCTGAGTTGAATGCATTAAAATCCCGTACCATCCTTATTTATAATACTCAGTAAAAGGCCAACCACTCTGATATTTAAACACGAAGGACCAATGGCATATGGTTTGTTCCATTTCATGACAGGCATTTCTCACCAAGTCGATATGAGTCTTTAACTCTAATCATGGTGATTTTTGCCTGCCGTGCCATACTGTGACTTGATAATCCCCCTTTACCCACAATATAATGGACATTAATTAAGAAATAAAAAACTATCTAATTAAGATTCTGTTAACCTACTCTCAAATCTTGTGGTCTTCTGATTATGAAATTATATATAACTTGGATTAGTTTTGGAGATTAGAACAAATTAAAGTTGCATAAATACATTCATTAATGTCAGTTTAAGAATAATTAATTGAGTTTTATAGTTGTGTATCTTACAGAAGTTAATTAAGATAATTCTTGATGGTTAAACAGTATTATAATCGACTTTACCCGGACAAGCAAGATAGAATGCAAAAAGAGAGGGACCATTATAATACAATAAAGTCCACCCTACTAATTGAATCCTTAACTTTAGTTACCGTCCCCACCTGTACGGTTGATCCAACGCAAATAAATTGATCACACGTGATATATATCAATCAAAAAGCACCATTTAGATGATATTAATTTCCGCACAATTTAATTTGTATTCACTATCAATTTGAAGTGTCACTCGGTAATCCACAAGTCTTTAAAGTTGTTTACTGATTAGTCGTCTGTTGTAATCAGAGATAAAGTGAAAAGGCAATGCATAAATGAAAAAGATCAGAATGTAGTAAAGGTCTGTTATTTGGAGTGCTACCCCTAAAATGGTTATGTTATGTTCTCTGGAAGGTGGAATTTACATCAATTTTTGTTCAGAAAAAGTTCCATCACTACATATTAATTTATCTCATCAATAAATAACTCTCATTCAAGAACGCGTTGTATATATGAATTTCCACTTGGGGCAAAACTTGCTTTTCATTTTATTGGACAATTAAGTCAACCACGACTTTATATATGTATATGTAAAGTTATTGAACTATATATGGTGACAAATAATTAAAATAGACGTTATCAAGATAAACCATTAATTAATTAATAAACTTGATTAATCCAATCTCTTAATCGTGAAATCAATTTAATGGTATTGGAATGTAATGGTGTTACATAAATAAGAACCACACTTGTTGAGAAGCAAAGATGGAATTAAATTGCAAATTAACGTGGGATATGCCGACAAGACCCACTTACAACTGGCTTGGTACACACAATCTAAGCCATTATGCTCTCCAGGCAAAGTTTGGTTGTCGACAGAGACTTCCAGTGTCACCATCCCATCCCGTCCCATCGCATCCTAACACATCAATCGCTCCAATCATGATATATATATCTCGCAAAAATTAATAAAGGAAAGGAATTATAAGTCATCACATATATACTTAGTTAAGAGATAAAGAACTCAAGACAGAACAGACTTGAAGTAGGCATGAAATACCAGGACATAATGGTGCCTATATACACAGACATGACCAATAACCTTACCTACTTTGTCTAAAAACTTTCAATTACGATAAAATTAAAATGAACAATTTCAGGATATCTGAGTATATTTTGTATTCTAAAACCATAATGCTTTTTTTTTTTTTTTTCTTAATTAAAAGTTCTTCTCCTCTCGACAAATAAAGATTGGTCTCAAGACGGCGAGGAAAAGCTTCTAATAATAGCACCTTTCTCTACAGAGTTTATGTTCACTACTATGTATTTAATCCACCTTTTCAGCTCTTCTTTATTTATTTATTTTTAATTTATATCTGTGTAGATTAAACTTTAACATTCTAAATAGTTGAAGCTTTAAAGTTGTTGTGTACTACCACAACGTGAAATGCCAAGACTGCGATAGTGCAATTAAGCAATGACATCATTTTTCCAAAGCTATCAATCATAATTAGACACTTAAACACAGATAATTAGCGCTGAAAATTAATTAAAAAAAGGTTAATCATGGTAGGTGAGGTGGGGTCTGACCATGCGGGCAAGGTGTTACATCTAGATCAAAATGTGGGCACATATGATAATTCTAATTTGTAGATTAATTGAAATGTCAGCTTTAGAAGGTTATATCTTTTGAATTCCGAGGCCGAAGAATCAAATCTCTGTTAATATTTGATGTGATTAAAAGGTGAGAATGACTAATGCGAATGCTTTAGTTTTTGTTCAGATTTTTTCCTATAAATTATTCTTTATCTTTAAAAGTTATGCTCTTTTCGCTAACATCCAGGAAACAAAAATACATTAGGTTCGTTGAAAGAGGAGACACCCTTTACCCTACAATCTAATAGCAATTGGCGACAGATTCCTTCCAAATAATTTTTAGGCAGATTACTTCATTACGGAATTTTATAAAATAACTGCTAAGAAAGTTGAAATAGGACATAATTTTCACCTAATTTGAACAACCATTACCTCATAATTTCATATGGTGTTATGTAATTAGGCCTCAATTGTTGATAATACAGCTCATTTCTCGAGGGTCAATTGAAGTATGGCAACATTCATATGGATGTATTCACCCTAATTTTGTCCCTATTGATCTTCGTTTCATAAAAGCTATAGATTGTTGTTTTGCCCGACAACCATAATCTCTGTAGTTGGAATTTGGCTTAGGTTTTCAATACAAACCTACAATTAAATGAAACCTCAGTTGCCTTGCAATAAGCAACCACCAACAGACATAATATAAAAATACAAACAAAACTACCAAGAAACCACTACATTTCTGTTGGGAAACTATATGACATGCATTCTTGTTCTTCTTGAGGAAAGAGTAATACATTTTTTCACTAATTTAAAATAAAATCTCCAAAACTTTTTTAGGGGTCTAAAAAGCCCAAAATAGAACTGAGTGGCTATTTCTGGCTCATACTGCATAGCCCAAACCAAATCAACAAGCCCAGATCAATTAAACTACCAACAGGCAACTACTAAACTTAGCTGGCTCAGTTACGCATAGATATCATGATGCTCATCCATTTCCTCCATGTTTCATAACAAAGAAAAGATTATCGTGAACATCATGCTCTGTTTACTTCTTATGTTGCGTCTCTTCTTTTATTCCATCAAATTTATATATCCTTCAGGGTTCAGAGAATTAAAACTGCATCGTGTCGCTGTTTTAACCTTGCAACATAAATATTTTTATCATGAAAAATCTCAGATTCAATTCGTTTATTTTCAATTATGCATTGCGGTATGTTTAGTTGGGACGGGATATGCAGAGACATTTTGGTAGCCCAGAGTATAATATGTAAGTAGCCGAAAAGAAAATTGATTTAAAAAAAGAAAAAGTTAAGTGTTGATTAATAGAAATCCGAGAAGAAAGATCTAAAATCAATGGCCATATCGTCCTGTGTTTGACTCTGTAAAAAATTTAATTGCTGCACGGCCATGGAATGATTTATTGACTTTTTTTGAAATACCATATGTACCACAAACAACTCACGTTTCACTCTATTGCGTGAAAATATATAACCACCCCACAAAATAAAATTACCTAGTAATAAGGGTAGTGATTGATTGTCATATGCGTACTGTTAAATTTGAACAAGTGAATTTACTCTCTGTTTTTTTGTTTTTTTTGAAAGAAGAAATTATCAAGAGAAATAAGTAAAAAAATCTAATAACTTCATACCCAAACGTCGTGTGACCCTTTAATGTCTTCACGGGTAAATAAAAGAAATAAAAATCCAGCAAATGGAATAAAAAAATGAGATATTAATGAGCCGATGCTCGAAAGTGTTAGAATTTGAGTTGGGCCTAACTCCTCACCCAAAAGGCCTTCTTGAGTGGGAGGATTGTCCACTCTTATAAACCCATTAGCTTGAGTGTGCCTAGTCGATATGAGATCTCCAACACTCCCCCTCACGATCAAGCCCATATACTTGCCTATGAATGGAGGTAGTTTGGCAGTCCACCGCTGGTCAATCACTCAACTCAAATGGGGCTAGCTCTGATACCATGTTAGAATTTGAGTTGGGCCTAACTCCTCACCCAAAAGGCCTTTATTGAGTGGGAGGATTGTCCACTCTTATAAACCCATTGGCTTGAGTGTGCCTAGTCGATATGGGATCTCCAACAGAAAGTGATGGCATGGGATACCTGAAT